CTGCCAATTTACGCGTGTCTCAATACATTTTTAAATCTGGCAACGGTTTTAACACCTTCCCTATTACCCTCCTAGAATTTGCGCCATAGAGCTTGTAAGTCCCTTCAGGATATCGCCAGCCGTCCCCATGTGGGCCGGCATTTCAGTAGTTCTTTTGTATTTGCGACAGGCCTTCCGCCCTTACACTCGAGGCCCGTGGTATATTGGGTGCACCCTAGTTTTAGTATTTTTGCGTTCCTCTTACGAAACCCTCCATACCCTCCTTTTTCCACCACCTGCCCTCCTTGCATATCGTGACCGAAGTATTTTGTAAAGTAGCCATTTTTGCATTCGGGAACCTTCCTCCCTGAGATCCCCTCACCTCTCCCGCCGCTAGCCGTGTCAGTCCCGTAGAGTAAACAAACGGGGACCTTTCGGGGTCACTCGTCGGTGCTACGCCGTACAGGTAGCTGGCGCCTATAGATTCCCTCTCCATCCCCGAAACCCCCTTTTCCTCCACCGAGTCACTTTAAATTCTCCCGAGGCCGCGTGCGCCCGCGCAAGCCAACGCGTGATAGAGCGTGCACAAATCAGCTGCCGTATTTTCCTTTCTTTTCTTTTCTTTTCTTTTATGTTCCTGTTAGCTTTCGGTTTTATATTTATAACTAACTGTTTTGCTTCATACTACGACTGTACTTTATTAATTATACTTTCTTTTCTTCATTCTACACCGTGTCCCCTTTCTTTGTGTCCCTCCCCCTCCGCGTTGCGATAGCTGATTCAAGCAGACCCTGGGCCATTTTCGTGGTCCAGCACGTCACAGTATATATTGTGACGTTAATTTTTAACGCCACAAAAGTCCTGATGTAGTACTCGCGTGCTCTTGATCACGGGACGCAGTACCGTCCCTCGGGAGAGATAATATCCGACTGTACCGGCCAAGAACTCCAGGGTCCGGATTAATAAATATAATGAGATTAGACTAATTGCTTTTTGTATACAATAACTTTCATGCGATACGTCGAGCCAACTTAACACCGAGGAAGCAACCAGCAGAGAGAAGTCATCCTCTCTAGTATCGTCGGAGGAAAGCAGCCGAAGGTTACGCCAGGGAGCGTGGAAGAACGCCGACGTCAGCAGGTGCCTCCACCCCGTCACGCCCGGCCTCGAATAAAGTAGGGAGCCGAGGTACAAAGAACATCGCCATGGACTACATCACGTCTCGTCAGTCCCGATACCGGGGCCCAGCTAAAGGCACCCGTGTCGAAGAGGGAGCTCAAGGAGCTACCCTAGGCCGAGGGATCGCGACCTCCGCCACTGCAACGTCCCGTCAAACCAGGACCGGACTGTAGCATCTACCCGTCACTACCTGGACGCCAAGAAGACACGGCAAGAAGCCCCGTCGAGCCTCCGCCCGTTCCGAGTCTCGCGAAAAGGCGACGTACGCCCTTGTATCGCGCGTAGACTTTAAAGGAACATGGAATTTGCGTACCATCCTTCCCAGTATCGTAATTATACGATCCGTTGGAGGCTCTGGTTAAATCTCTACTCTAATATGGAGCATCTCGCGTCGGGTAGTTAACGAATTATTTTTGTAGTATTCTATAATGATCGAATTAGTTCATAGGCATGTTTTGAATATTTGCGCGTAAGCCCGGATTGGCTGAAATAATCCGCGTAGGCGATTGGCCCATTGGGCCCCACTAGACTTACCGCGAGGGAGCTAGCCCCGACCGGTAAGACGACGAACCCTCGAGCGTCATTCTTGCGACGACAGCAGTCTTGGCCGGTGGTTTCGCTTCAGTTAGAAAGACAAAAGAAGATCATATCGTTGTATCCAGCACTTGTATCGATCACGGTAAGCGTCTCGACGCCCAAAAGGACGAAATCTTGATTACTCTGTGCGTAGTGGGTCTTAGTCCCTGTCTAGTTTCGTAATTATCCTCCCGGTTTCGACTGAGGAGCAGATCGCGTTTCGCCAGAGGAAAAGATTCCGTGCCTTAGCGTTTGAGAACTTTTATATAGTCTCTCTCATTAAGTGTGTTTATTATCAACGTTCTAGGTGATCCTGGATCGTGATCGTAAGAACCCATGAACTACGCTTCCCGTACGTTCATGAAATTGAACCGCGGATTACTTATTTAGCGACATTATCTTGAAACTGTTTCTTCTGGATATTACTTTTTCTATGTTGTATAGCCTCTTACGCTGTCTACTCTATACGGTTCTGTGTGTAACCTTCTTACTCGCGTGATACAGGTACTCGAAAGTCTAAGTGACAATATCTGCGGGAACCATCCCCGCCTACCGTTCGTTAGTCTGTCTAGCTCGCGCGTTGCGTGCATCGTGCAGAACGTATCGTGAATTCACGGCCGCGGATAGCGGAAATCCTACGTTTCTTTTCGAACGACGAATTGTATCGCGAGAGCACATCGTTGCCTCGAGACCTGTAGGTCACGGGACTAGAGTGTATCACAGGCCGAATTATTTCTCTTTGTTTCACGTGTCTCGCAAGGACCTTTTAGCTATCGTGTAAACTTGTTCTTATCATATTTTGTTCGCGTGTCCCGTATGGGACCTCGTCTCGCGCGGTATTGTGTTACTGATTATTTATATTCGCCATAGGTTATTTGATTTGTTAATTGTTGCTTTGATAAGTCAATAACCCAATAAAAGGGCCCCCTTGTTATTTGTTACTGAATATCTTGCGGTTTCTCAATCTTCTTTCTTTACCACCTGTGCATTTCTCGCCCCTCTACCATACTTTTCCGTTTCCTTCCTACTAGCCGGAGTCCTCTTAATTTTTCTCGGGAGTTTCGTGTGTTACGTGACGCAACGCTGCGTCTGGCGCCCATTTGGCTTTTCATATTGTACAGATTTTCTCCTTGCGTTTTCCCGGAAAAACTTTAGAGTCTCGTCCCTCACATTTGTGGTGCGATCGGATTGTCTTGCTACGAGGCGGTGTGAGGAAGAAAATCACGTCACAATATATAAGAGCAAAGTTAGGTGAACAAATGAGTAGAATTTATTATCGAAATGATGCACTGAAAAACCTCTACAAAAATACTATTTTATGAATAAGCGAAAGCAATTTCAACTGATACTAAGTAACTTAGTGGATTACAATAAATTGGAGTAAAACTGATAAATTGTAATTAGTAAGCAGGGGAAGGTAAAAATGTTTAACTAAACTGTCTGACGGGCCAGCGGAGAATGAGAGTGAGTCTTGGAGAGAATTAGGAATGTTAGTTAGCGGGGGTGGATTGTTGGAGTAGGGTTAGGGATTATTACTATTGGTTCAGCTAGAGGAATTTTTAAGGAAAAGAGCATGGAGTGGTTAAAGAAATTGCATAAGGGTGAAAGAATTGCTGGATCAGGATTGGATGAGGATGACTTCTTTGTAATTGAATAAGGAGTTTTTAGTGGGGTTTTCTAGGAAGGGTCATAGAGTCATAAAGTCGGAAACGTCCGCATATGTATCGCATAAATAACGTCAATAACGGTCAAGACCATAGACTAAATACATTCTATAAACATTTCCATTAGGTACGCTTCATTGTGCATAGGCCTAGAACCCATATGCTAGATAACCATATCCTAGGGTCGCTATGTGATAAAAACCAGACCCCACTGTTTAGTCTTCCAATGCCTAGTCATAGACCACGTACGTAGGATTTGATTTTCCACGCGGACGTAACATATGTGACAACAAATTCCTATAATGGATGAGTCAAACAAAGGGCCTCGGGCCCCTGCCCAAAGAAGTAAGCTAAATCTGGTCGAAGGACCATCCGAAGAGATGTCGCAGCTACAAAGAAGAAAAAAATAATTCATTTCTCGAGTCGAGAGAATGAACCTCTCTTGCGCGATCCCGGCTTACCCGCGAAATATTAATTAAATAGCTCTCGACAGTAACCAGCGGGTAAGACAGTGTTTGCTATCGGATTATCGTAGGTTGCCTTCTCGTTCCAGGAGACATCGGTCCCTGAAACAGTTCTCGAGTTTGGTTCACGAGTTGAGTTCGGCCGAAGGGCCAGAACTAGCTCACGATCGTAACGTGCTCCCTACCTTCTCTCCTGACGGAGATGGCACAAGTGATAAGTGGTCTAGTTAGCGATTTCTCGAAATAGTGATCTTTAAACATCTTCTCGTGCCTACGAATTATCAGGCAGCTCTCGTCTTACCTACTAAATATTGCTGTTTTCACTCTGTCTCGCTCTCGCTCGTAGCCGTAGGTAAGAGTACTCGCTATCGGAACTGGTTATAACCAGCCATTGCTCACGAAGTAAATTAGTAAATGTCTTAATTGACAAGCTATCGGCAGAAATAGTAATTTCCGAAAAATCATTTCTCGAGTTAGAGAAGTTTTTCGGCTGGCTTTCGATCTTCCCCACCACAGGTTAACTCTCGACCATAAAAAGGGGAATGGATACTACGCTACCGAAAGAAAAAAATTATGTAATAAAGCTCGAACACGTCGGGCTACCGACAAAAATATTATAATCGTAAAGCTGGCTCTCGTTCAGTTTAGTGTACGAAGTCCTAATATGAGTAAGCATTTTCATTTTTTTTTTTAAATCTTTGGCTTCCTCATACATGAATCTTCATTTACTACCAATGATTCAGAGGAAACAAATTGCAAAAGTTAAATTCTTGGCTTCCTCATATAAGAATTTCGTACACTACTTACGACTCGAAGGAAGCAAATTGTAAGTTTCAACTTGCAGCTTGTTATATATTGAGACGTTTCGTGATTTTTTGAGTGTTAGGAATCACGAGACTTTTTGTAGGGTTTGTGCACTGGGCAGGCGTCTTTAGAAACAATTTAGACACTGGAGTGTTTAAGATAACAAAATAATGATATATTGTCCTATAAATTACAGACTAGGTATCCTTGATATTCTATTCAACGTAAAAGAATGGCGCAAAGCTCAGCGCAAAACTGGCAAAGTGTTATTGTTGTTAGATAACGCGCCATCTCATCCTTCTGCCGAAGTATTAAACACTCTCGATCCAGACTTCGAGCTGAGGTTTCTTCTGCCAAACGTGACATCGTTGATTCAGCCCATGGATCAAGGGGTAATCGAGACAATGAAGAGACTTTACAGGAAACAAATCCTCGGAAGACTATTTCTGGCCGAAGAAAGGACCGAAGAAAGTGTTGTTGCATTTGCGAAATCATTGAATTTGAAACACTGCTGTTATATGCGGGCTAATGCGTGGGCATCGCTAACAGAGGCAAATTTAAAGAATGCGTGGAACAAACTATGGCCAGCTTCTGAAGAAATGCCGGAAGAGTTCGAAAGAGAAAATTCCAATGCCGAGGAAGGTGGCGTCAATGAATTTACCGAACTCTTCAACTCCATCCCGGGGTTTACAGATTGTAACCATGAAGACGCTGAAAATTGGCTCAACGATGACGCAGATGATCCGGGCTGTCAAATTCTAACTGACGACCAAATAGTATCTTCAGTTCTTCATGATGAAAATATTGATCCCGAGGATAATGACAGCGACGAGAATACGGATGCGTCGGATAAGCCTTCTCACGGTGAAGCATTTGAGGCTTTCGAGACAGCGATGGAGTGGTACGAAAAGCAGCCAGAATATTGCCCAACGCAACTGCTTCTCCTAAAAAGATTTCGTGATTTGGCAGCGCAAAAACGAGCTTCTGGTGTAAAGCAGAAGAAAATCCTCGAGTTTTTCCAAAGAAATACATATGTAGATTCTATTGACGAAAAATATAATATATATAAATGTTAATATAATAAAGATATCGAGTGTCGTTGAAAATATATTCTATACTTTTCAGCGTTTCAATCTTGCCTTTTTTCCAACAAAAAACTCTTGTTCGGTTATCCGAAATTTTCGATTATCCGAATGGTAGTCGGTCCCAATTAGTTCGGATAATCGACGTTCTACTGTAGCAAGTTCGAGATTGTAACAGATCATCTCCCACTGATTTGGTAAATGAACCACAAAGATCCTCATTCGCGACTAGCGAGATGGAGGATAACATTACGACTACGAGATATACTACAAGAAAGGTAGTGAGACGTTTCATGATTTTTGTGTCTTAGGAATCACGAGACTTTTTGTAGGGTTTGTGCACTGGGCAGGCGTCTTTAGAAACAATTTAGACACTGGAGTGTTTAAGATAACAAAATAATGATATATTGTCCTATAAATTACAGACTAGGTATCCTTGATATTCTATTCTGCTCTCTCTCTCACACACATACACACGCTTTACAATTGTCTCTAGCTTGCCTGTAATACCACAGGCGGCAAGAAGTGTTTTTGATTACTTTATTATCTCTGCTAGCCTTTTGGATTAGAGAGAGGTAGCTGGAACCACAATACAGCAGATTGCACAATGCGTCCGA